CCCCATATATGAAGACTTAATGAACAGGTAAAGATTTCCATGAAACAAATTAATCAATGTATTTCTGACCAAAGATACTAACAGTTTAAGGTTGACTGGATGAATAAGGTCACTATGCTATGGTTTCCACATTTTGTAAAATGGTAGTTGTAACAATGAAGATGAACTCTGTATCTTTAGTCTTCACATTGGTAGGTAGCAGAGGTAATCGTGCGTGCTGTAGTGACATGAGAGTAGCAGCAGAAACGCTTTCTGTTGTTATACTAGTTCATGGTTAAAAACAGCAATAGTGTTATTAGAATCCTGTTTTGGCAAGTGCGATTTTTGCTGTCTTTTTTTAGCATCTCTTTATTTTAATTCTAAAAAACTATTCTAACTCTTCAGTATAACACCTGCATAATAAAAATTTTTCACACATCAACTGATTGGTATATTTCAGAGAAAACAACCAACATAAATTAATATTTTTGGATAGAGACCTTCCAGATTCATGGTGCAATGAGTGAGTTTTTACATACTGTAACTATAAATATAACTCAACTTCAATAAAATTTATGTGCTGGACTAATAACAGTTTCCACAAAACAACTTAACAAATTCGGCCTCCGTCGTCTAGGGATAACGTTCCCACCTCAGGACTCAAGTTATGCAGGTTCAAACCCGGCGGAGGTCGTGGAATTTTTAAGGGCGGAAAAATTCAGGGAACAAGTCCTCCGGGAGGGATTTTAAGCCGTGGGTCCCGTGTTGTAGATTTACAGCACGTAAAAGATCCTCATGTCTCTAGGAGACCTCTGAGCAAAATTAAGTAAAACGTTTCCCACCCAAGTAGTTTCCAATGCCTCCGGTAGATGGGGAAGTATCAGGTACCACTGCCAGTAGAGGGGCCAAACTCGCTGGCTGAACGGGGCTGATAGCGAGCACCAGTACTGGAAGGGTATGGCGACTGGTAGAATATCAAAGGGGGACGTACAATAGATCAACAACTGGTCGCGGTGCATGTGGAAACCCACCCCCTCCAATAATGAATGAATGAATGAATGACTCATAAAACTTACCATGTGTTACAATCCTTTGGTACCTTTTCTCCTGGCTGAAACATCCTTCCCCGCCATTGGCAAGGACACTGCTCCCGTGAAACACATTGCTGGTCATGCAGCACTGTACCCGAAGGGCAGTAACAGCCTTCCTCACATGACTCTGTGACTGATGTCATGACAGGTACGGTTACTGATCTACAAGTTTCTTGTGAACTTGGTCCACATGGAAAATACACCCGACTTCCAGTACAGTGCACAGCTGGGAAAGAGGAAATGAACTATTGCATTGAATGTTTATCATCTTAGTATAGGTAAACACTTTATTGTTCACCTTGTAATCCATCTAAATTGTTTTATACATGGCATGACCAAACTATTTAGTTATTTATTTATTCCACTGTAAAATTCTATCAATCCAATCTAGGCTACAAATACGCCTGAAGGACATAGAACCAGCCACAGACAAGTAACTAAAATACACATGCTATGAAAACAAGCATAGGTCAGATCAAACAATAAACCAAACTGTTTATCTTCCTACTTTAACATTAAACATAACATCTTAAATTTAATATTGTAAAGAATCATCACACCAAAAGGTAGATGATAATATATTTATGCCAAAATAATGCACCTATGATACATAAAACCTTAAAATTTACTTTAAAATTAGTAATTACTATTAAAAAATCCTTCAGTGAATATAAAGAATTCAATAGAAAGTAGTTTTTAGAGTATTTTTAAATTGACTCTTATCATCATACAATTTTTTTTATGCAAGGAGGTAAATGAAGAAAGCAGTCTTCTGGGATTTGGTGCCGTGTATATGTGGTGTTAACCGACGTTTCGGAGGAACGTATCGCCCCCATCTTCAGGGTTGAAGAAAAAGTATAGGTAAATCTGCAAGCGACAACACCGTGAGACACGGTCAAGCAGACTGCTTTACCGTGTCTCACGGTGTTGTCGCTTGCAGATTTACCTATACTTTTTCTTCAACCCTGAAGATGGGGGCGATACGTTCCTCCGAAACGTCGGTTAACACCACATATACACGGCGCCAAATCCCAGAAGACTGCTTTCTTCATTTACCTCCTTGCATAAAAAAAATTGTATGATGATAAGAGTCAATTTAAAAATACTCTAAAAACTACTTTCTATTGAATTCTTTATATTCACTGAAGGATTTTTTAATAGTAATTACTAATTTTAAAGTAAATTTTAAGGTTTTATGTATCATAGGTGCATTATTTTGGCATAAATATATTATCATCTACCTTTTGGTGTGATGATTCTTTACAATATTAAATTTAAGATGTTATGTTTAATGTTAAAGTAGGAAGATAAACAGTTTGGTTTATTGTTTGATCTGACCTATGCTTGTTTTCATAGCATGTGTATTTTAGTTACTTGTCTGTGGCTGGTTCTATGTCCTTCAGGCGTATTTGTAGCCTAGATTGGATTGATAGAATTTTACAGTGGAATAAATAAATAACTAAATAGTTTGGTCATGCCATGTATAAAACAATTTAGATGGATTACAAGGTGAACAATAAAGTGTTTACCTATACTAAGATGATAAACATTCAATGCAATAGTTCATTTCCTCTTTCCCAGCTGTGCACTGTACTGGAAGTCGGGTGTATTTTCCATGTGGACCAAGTTCACAAGAAACTTGTAGATCAGTAACCGTACCTGTCATGACATCAGTCACAGAGTCATGTGAGGAAGGCTGTTACTGCCCTTCGGGTACAGTGCTGCATGACCAGCAATGTGTTTCACGGGAGCAGTGTCCTTGCCAATGGCGGGGAAGGATGTTTCAGCCAGGAGAAAAGGTACCAAAGGATTGTAACACATGGTAAGTTTTATGAGTCATTCATTCATTCATTCATTATTGGAGGGGGTGGGTTTCCACATGCACCGCGACCAGTTGTTGATCTATTGTACGTCCCCCTTTGATATTCTACCAGTCGCCATACCCTTCCAGTACTGGTGCTCGCTATCAGCCCCGTTCAGCCAGCGAGTTTGGCCCCTCTACTGGCAGTGGTACCTGATACTTCCCCATCTACCGGAGGCATTGGAAACTACTTGGGTGGGAAACGTTTTACTTAATTTTGCTCAGAGGTCTCCTAGAGACATGAGGATCTTTTACGTGCTGTAAATCTACAACACGGGACCCACGGCTTAAAATCCCTCCCGGAGGACTTGTTCCCTGAATTTTTCCGCCCTTAAAAATTCCACGACCTCCGCCGGGTTTGAACCTGCATAACTTGAGTCCTGAGGTGGGAACGTTATCCCTAGACGACGGAGGCCGAATTTGTTAAGTTGTTTTGTGGAAACTGTTATTAGTCCAGCACATAAATTTTATTGAAGTTGAGTTATATTTATAGTTACAGTATGTAAAAACTCACTCATTGCATCATGAATCTGGAAGGTCTCTATCCAAAAATATTAATTTATGTTGGTTGTTTCCTCTGAAATATACCAATCAGTTGATGTGTGAAAAATATTTATTATGCAGGTATTATACTGAAGAGTTAGAATAGTTTTTTAAAATTAAAATAAAGAGGGACTAAAAAAAGACAGCAAAAATCGCCATTGCCAAAACAGGATTCTAATAACACTATTGCTGTTTTCAACCATGAACTAGTATAACAACAGAAAGCGTTTCTGATGCTACTCTCATGTCACTACAGCACGCACGATTACTTCTGCTACATACTAATATGAAGCCTAAGGATACAGAGTTCATCTTCACTGTTACAACTACCATTTTACAAAATGTGGAAACCATAGCATAGTGACCTTATTCATCCAGTCAACCTTAAACTGTTAGTATCTTTGGTCAGAAATACATTGATTAATTTGTTTCATGGAAATCTTTACCTGTTCATTAAGTCTTCATAAATGGGGAATGTTTAATGAAAAAAAACTATTATTCTTATCTCTTTGTTCTCTCCCTTTCACCTGCAGTCTTGTAAATAGTTCTCTCACAAGAATAGTCAAAATGGATTTCAAACTATTGCATTTATTTCAGTTCATAAAGTTATTATTATCAAAATTACAAAATTTTGTACATGACACATCTTTTACATTCAACACAATTAATGTAACAGCAGCACAATATCCATTACAGAAACAGCAAAGTACAAACATTAGGAATTATGTTCGTTTGCTAGAATGGAAAAGAACAGAATTTATTTGCAGTCTACACAAACTTCGGAGGCCTATGCCAAGCATGCAGCATAAGCCATAAAATATATACTTTCTTCAAATACAAATATAAATATAAGTACATATAGAAAAATTTAAGGTAATACAGTATTATTCTAAGCACAGGTAATCCACATTATATGTGAGTTCATAAAATACTCGTGCATTATAAATCATGTACAGCAAGCAATAATACTGAGGTTTCAATTTGTTACTAATTTCTTTAGCATGCTGAAACACAATAATCTGAAATATGCTATACATTTACTTCTGAAACATCTCTTGTGTTATAAATGAAAGTAAAAACTCAGAGAATTTCACTGAAATGACAGTTAATGACATGAGAAGGGGATAATTTCCCTATTGCCTATGTGACCTAGTCTGAAAATGCTTATGTTATGGAGATTCAGTGGACATATGAATACATTGTACACTTTTAGTCAGTATAACTTTTAAAGTATTTCCAACTATGAGTGAAAGTATGACGTTTTGGCAAAGAAATATTTTAAAATAAAAGGGTCAGATTGCATCTTTTTGTGGGTAATATCTGATGAAGGCTGGACTTACAGTTGTGTGGGCCCCAGGGCAACGAAAATGTGGTGGGCTCTATCAGTAGCAACACATTTGGATTATGACAGTTTTTTTTTGTTCTTACTTATTATAACTAAAAATACAAACTAACTTTCTGTAGTTATAGAGAACCCAATATCTCAATAAAATCTGTGGATTTGATTTGTTTCATTATGGTCCGTCACACTAACAATTATAAATACAAACCACTCCGTCCAGTGTGACATGTAAGTTTTTACTACGTTAAAACTTATTTCCCTTACATGTTTCGGTCCTTATGGGCCATCTTCAGAGGGAACATCATTACAAACTGGAAACTACCATCACAATAGGTGTTTTGATTTAAAATACATACACTTATATCCTATAATGCACAGTACGCTTAAAGTCAAACGTTTCACAATCACAGCAGCTTCCTGGTGTTGTAAAGTTTTTAAAAGTTTCTAGATGTTATTTAAAAACGTTTATTGTCAATAGTTAAAATTTTTAAACCACATATGTTCGTGTCCGTACTCCTATCGTCCTTCTTGTATGGGGCAGATTTTGTGCCACCTGTCTATCTTGATGAGGAGGTTCTTGATGTCATCCAGGGTTTTTTTGTGGCTTGCTCTGTTGTTTTCATGGCACTACAACAGGAGATGATATCTTCAAAGAAATACAAAAAACACTAACAGAATAGAATTTGGACTGGAACCATCTGCAATGCGTGACAATTGATGGAGAAAAAGACATGTCTGGTATAAAAATATGTTTGGTTGGCCAAATCACAAAAGCTTGTGAGGATTCAGGAATATCAAAGCCAATGTTTCTTCACTGTGTTAACCACCAACAAGCACTCTGTGCAGAACACGTTGAAATGAGCTCTGTTTAAAACCTGTTATTTCTATCGTTAATTTCATTCGCTGTCATGCACTTAACCATCACCAGTTTCAGTCTTTTCTCGAGGAATGTGATTCTGAGCTTATTGACCTGACATATTATACTGCAGTTCGATGGCTTAGCTGTGGAAAGGTTATTTCGCGCTTCTTTCAGCTCAGGAATGAAATTGATATATTTCTTACTGAGAAAAACGATCACGAACCACTTTTATCAGAAACCAAGTGGCTCTGGAAATCAGCATTTTTGCTGATCTGGTGAACCATATGAACAATTTGAATTTAAAGTTGCAGGGTGAAAATAACTTAGTCTGTGATTTATTTGAACTTATCAAGGCATTCAGAGCAAAGTTGATACTTCTGGAAGCCAAATGAAAAATTTGTTCATATGCTATACTGTGCAGAGTTGCATAAAAAGGGTGAAGCAGAATTTCCTTCCTCGTTTGCAAATTTAGTCATTTCAGATTTGAAAGAACAATTTCGGAAGCGATTTGCTGTTTTTGATGCCAGTGCTCAGGAAATTAGATTGTTTCAAAATCCGTTTGACTGTGATGCTGCAGATGTCCCAAGTCAAATTCAAATGGAAATTATTGAACTTCAGGAAAATTATCATATGTTAAAGACAAATACAGGGAAAGAAATTTGATCGAATTTTATAAATTTCTGAACTCTGAGCAATTTCCAAATTTAAAGAAATTTGCTTGTAAATTTATCTCCATTTTTGTGGCGACATATCTGTGTGAACAAACTTTTTCCCAGATGAAGTACATCAAGTCGAAATACAGGGCAAATTTATCCGATGAACATTTAAAGTCGCTACTTGTGATCAGTGTTTCAAAATTTGAACCTCAATTTCATCAGATTTTAAGAATGCAAAAGAGTTCCATCATTCACATTAATTGTTTTATTATAATTTGTGATGAAAATATGAGCATTTGCTGCTACTGTCTGTTGTCATTAATATACGATAATTTATTCTCATGTACTTTGTATTTAGTTTATGAGATTCTGTGCTTTCAATAAAACTCATATACCTAGAGTTATTAATTTCTCATTTTATCCGGCCCATTGAAAGTGCTAAATTACGTAATGTGGCCCGCGGTTTGAAAAGTTTGGAGACCCCTGCGCTAGAGGATGGACAACTGTAAAGCTGGGCTAAATGAGCTGGTGAAGAAGAATCTCTTCCCCACAGAGGAATGTACCCCAGTCTTTTAGCTCATTGCACTGCACTTTACCGAAATGTATTATTTCAACTGATTGTAAAGGTTGTTTTCATAAACCACTGCCAGAAATTACTTTGTTTTTTTAATAACACTTCATAAAGTAATCTATCATGAAATAAAATGAATTTTATTTTTTCCAAATTTACTTCTTTGAATATAACTTTCTGTAATTAAACTATCACCAATTCCAATAGAGCTCAGCATTTTGAGACAGGGTGCTTTTACAATATAAGTGATTCTATCATTTAGCGCCCTGTAAACGTGTAAGACATTATTATTAAACTACCAATTGTCATGGATGTAGTGAGAACAACTGATTGTCATTCTATTCAGTTGAGTACACTCTTCTTGCAGAAGAAAAGTGTATTTGTGGGTTTACAATAATAAGGCCAGTTATTTATATTTCAAATCGAAGTATGTACTCCCAAACTGTGGGTCATCGCCACTAGAGGTGCTAGCACCATACAAAATAAGTGATAAATTCTGATATGTTAAAATTCTAACTAAAACGCGTAAGCAATAAAAAGTGAACTTTAAATACATAGCTTCAGTGAATTATTAACCTCAGCACTAGTTAAAGGTGAGTTGTTTGAATCATGCCCCTACTACTTCAGTGCTGGGGAGGCATTCCACAATAGTTATTTGATAAATGGCTGAGTGGGTTGCACAGTTGTTCTGGAGACTGTGGAGAACAGTAAAATCACACCCAGGTTATCTGGTTGTCCAATGTAGATCATAAATATTATATTTAAGCATCCTGTTGCACTATACACTTCTATATGTAATAATACAAATGCCGTCGTGAATGCAACAATTTATTTGGTTGTAGTTCTTTGTCTTTTCTTCCTCTACACTACATGTTTTGGCCGTAACTGGCCATCATCAAGACACACAGATAAAAGTAGCATATCGCACATGGAACACAATTGAAAATATACTCAAACATAAACCACAATTGGATAAATACAATAAAAGTGGCATATACCAAACGAAATGTGTGGATTGCCCATTGAAGTACATTGGACAAACGGGCCAAACATTCAACACCAGATATAAGGAACATATACATGATATTAGAAATAATAATAGCAATTCTGGATACTCAAATCACATACTAAATACGGGACATTCATACGGAACCATAACAGTCATAATGGAAGTTGTAACAACGGGAAAGAAGAGTAGACATTTGAAAACATTAGAGAAATACCATATATACAAAGTAAGTAAGAAAGGCCTACACATGAATGACACACACATAGAAACACACAATCCCATATTTCAAACAATATGCGAGATCTATACAGACTAACGGTATCCACCCTCCCCACTACCCCTTCCTCTCCTACACTCAACAACATAAAAACAGCACACAACACACCAGACGGTAAAAAGTATTGTCGCGTATCGGGCGTATATCGCGACAAATAAATTCTCGGTGGATTCGATGTAGCGAATTTTATTTCACATTCGCTCATACAATCACCCAAATTACAGATTTACGGTTACTGCTATCTGCAGTATCACAATTAGTACACTCCAAATGCCAGAATACAACTGACTAGTTGCTGGCTAACTCGGCGGTAGCTCCAGGACTCACTGACTGACTCGGTACAACTCAGTACAACAACTCGACTCGGCGACTGTTACAGTACAACTGATTGTGAATAGCCTTCACTGCTCCCCATGTAGCCTTGATCGGACCATACGGAAAACGGCCACGTAATAGGCACCCTTGTTGCTAGCCACGCCGTGTTGCTATGTAACGCTAGCGGAAGTAACCGCTGTTACTACCGTAACGTCGCCGCTGTTGACTCGCGTTGCCTAGCGACCGCGATATCCCTCGGTGACGTCACCGCGGAGGGGAGTGGCGGGGCGGGAACTCGCCTATTACCGTAGTAACGCGAGCGTTACGTTACCGCCACGTACCACTGGGGAGGTAGGGGTCAGCATGTCACAGTATTAAAGATGAGCAGCAACACACACACACACACAGAGCCTGCACAGAGTAAGTACACACAACAGTATGAAACATATGAGAATAATGTAGGAACATAGGATAGTAATACGAATATTTGTGTATTACAGATAATACATAAACAATGCCGGAAACAAGAAATAGCCGCAGCAGCACATGTAGACACAGAGCAGGTATCCCCGTGATTTAAAACTTTAAATTTTAAATAATTTTAAAATTTAAACTTGGATTCTAAAATCAAATTGACGAGCATATGTTAGCGAGATTTCAAACAAAACTGACAGGCTGCTGTTTTAGATTTTGGATTGTGTGCAGTGTGACAGCTACGTAGTGAAAAATACACCTGATGATGGCCAGTTACAGCCGAAACATGTAGTGTAGAGGAAGAAAAGACAAAGAACTACGACCAAATAAATTGTTGCATTCACAACGGCATTTGTATTATTACATATAGTATAGTAGATCATAAAATCTTACTTTTAGTGTTGTTCATTTTATTGTTTACAATTTTTAGGTTCTGAAATGATTATTCTTGGTAGTATATTTTTTGACAGATTTGCTGTTTTTATTTTGGTTAGGCTTACAAGTTGTTTTTATTTTGATTAGATTTACTGGTTATTTCTTTTGTTAGAAAAGTTTACATGTTTACCAGTTGCTCTTATATTTGCAGCACATGTGTTGGAGGACAGTGGTCATGCACACAAATAAACTGTGGTGCTCGCTGTGGAGCTATTGGAGATCCTCACTACCTTACATTTGATGGAAAACGCTTCAATTTCATGGGGAAATGCTCATATCACCTCTTAAAGGGAGAAAATTACAGCATAGAGGCAGAGAATGTGGCTTGTGCAGGTGCCATCTCAGAGGTGAGGTGCAGTCTGTTGGCAAGGTGACTGTTACTTATTCGTCAGTCATTACAGGCCCCTGCTTCCAAAATTTTCATGTCTTCAGTCCACTAAAAGAGACATTCACGGAATACTGATTCCAGTTAGATGCTAAAGTGTAGAGGCTCCATACATGATTATGGGCAGGGAAGGGCAAGCCAGGAATGTACCACTTCCCCTCCATTGATTAGAAAAGAAAAGTAAAATTGAAAAAAATTAGGAAATATATAAAGTGTTAATACCAAGACTTAAGGGGTATTTTTAAAAATATGTATTACTCTATCTTGGATACTGCAGGGCAGTCAGTAAAGTCAGTCTAAAATGGCTTAAAGTTTTTAAGCAAATTTTCTGGCTGCTCCCAGTTGGAAAACTGACTGCTTCCTGATGGAAATATTCCTGGTGGTGCCCATGGCTGTACAAGGTAAACTTATTAATGCCTTTGGACGTTTGGTATTAGGGCCATGGATGGAAACAGGAAACCAACAGAAAAATATATTTTTTTTATATTAGTGGAATATTTGTCAAAAATGAAACTGAAAAATTGGACAGTTCCCATCTCTAGGTATGGTTTCCGCTGATAACCCTTCCACTGATCCACTCTTACACACTATAGCCCTTGGCAGCCACCTCAAAATCACGATTTCACTAGACGTTGGCATTATGTATCCTCCCAAAGCTGTCTCCACCTTTTGGTGGTGGGGTTAGCATGACTCTTGTGACCTGGAGAGCTATGCTGGCAGTAGCTTAACTACTGGTAGTCACCCATGCTGGAAAGGTCAAAGGAAAGAGTCCGGACTAAGAGAGATACCCTGGTCCTCCAGGTTGGGGGTTGGACATGAGACTAACAACCTAACAACCCCGTAAAAAGAATTTTGTTCAGAAACCTAACAACCAGCCTCGTTGTGGAGACTGGTTATAGAGGAGGCCAAGGCTCACTCATGGCTGTAGCACTGAGTGGTAGGTAGGTAGGGCATTATGTATCTTAGAATTACCAGGTTTTTGGACTTTGTCCATTGTCTGATATTCTAAAAGCTACAGTTATCAATAGGCACAAAATGGTTTCACAAAATTCTCCATTTAATCTTATGCATTAGTTTTTATGGACTTGGTTTGTTGGCTACTTTTCTATCTTAGTTTCAGGCCTGTACATGTTTTATCATAATCTTTATTGTATATTTTTCTGTTATCTCACTTTGACCTAGCCTGGTCTCAGGTTTTTATATAGCTGTAGATATACTGACATGGGTTGTCCAGGGATTGAGGTTAGCTCTTTGTAAGGGACCCAACAGAGTAGGTGTGTCCCTCCCTCACCTTAGGACCGAAACAAATCCAGTTTCTGAAACATCGTGTTCTGTACTTTTTAGAATACCGGACAATGAACGTAATCCAAAAACACAGTAATTCTAAGTATTATACGCCCTCATCAGAAACCTGTAGAATCTGATTATGCATCTTCTTTCAATATAAGTTGAGACTGTCAAATGGGCTGAAACATAGGCATCTCTCACTTCCATTTACTACTGCTATCCACTGGTCCTATTCTAAATTACTACCAGTGATAATGTGCATAACACATACACACATAGTCATAAACCATATTTTGTATTAAATATTAATATTAGATTAACCAACATGAACTGAAAGAGAACATACATTTTATATACAATATAGTATATTAAATTAACCAATTAATTTACTGAGTAATTCATTGTAGACACATGTCTGCATAACTGAAATATTGCTTATGTGTTGTAGGCAATGAGTTTCCTTCCTTCAAGGAGCTCTGAGTATCCGTCTTGTACAAAGACTGTTACCATAAATCTCAATGGACATAATATCAAGTTGAAACAAGGGCGTGAAGTGTTGGTAGATGGGCAGGAAATGTCAAAGTTGCCTTTCACAGCTGCTGGTGCTTATGTACATGTTGTATCTTCCATCTTCCTGTTAGGTAAGTTCATGTTACAAAATGTCTGATATGCCAGATTTTGTCTATAAGTAGAATTTGTTTTAGTTGTTAATATGTCTGAATTATGGACATTTTAAGGAACTGGATAGTGGGGACAAGGAGGTAAGTTCACTCACCTTTAAAAGGAGATAAACTGTTTTGAATATCTTGTTTTCTTCCCATTTCTCTATATTGTAAAAATATTCTCCTCACTTAGGATCTGAACTGTTAAACATAGCATAATTATAATACACTTAAGCCCTTGAAGCCTGAAATTAATTTAATTAATACATAGAAACTCAGTTCCTCTTGCACAGAAAACATATTGCATCGCCATTACAACGACTAACTGGTTAATGTTGTATCAGGAATTAACTGCTCGTTATTCTGAGACACAGAACATATAAATACAGGATGTCTGGATGAAAGGTATCCAAAATAAAATATTTATATCTCAGAAAGCATTTATTATACACATTGTTTTGGGTTGCACCATTACAAAAGGAAACTATCAAAGTTTTTTTTCTGAGTATAGATCTTTCTCAATAAATTTCAGTGTGACCTGACTTGGTGGCATTATAAATATCCAGATGATATTTGACCTTGTTCCACATTGCTTGAAGAATGTTTATTGTTACTGTAGCCACAGCGTCCCGTATGTGAGCTTTCAGGTGTTGAAGGTCATTGATCTTAAACTGCTATTGATATTGATATTCATATTTATTAGCATTCCCTTAATCCATACAAGGTTAACTTATAACCTATTGGATATAGACAATGTTCTTCACATAACCCCATAAGAAAAAATCCAGTGGGGTTGCACCTGGTGACCTAAGAGGCCAAGCGATTGGTTCACCTCTGCTGATCCATCTCCCAGCCATCTCTCTATCCAAGTGATTCCTAACATGGTGGCCGAAATGTGACTGTGCCCCATGTTGTTGGAGGATAGTCTGAGGTGGTAACTGGGGCAACACATCAGCTCCAGCATGTCTAAGTATGAATGTATCCAGCCACATTCTCTTCCGCAAAGAAAAACGCTCCACTCAAATTGTCATGCATTGAGCTGGCCCATAGGTTCACTTTGGGTTTGCCTCTCTCCAACTCACATGAGACATCTGGATCTTGACTGCCCTAAATCCTGCAGTTGTACCTGTTTGTAACTCTACTGACATAGAATGTCACCTCGTCCGAGCAGCACACTTGGTGGAGGAAATTGGATGACACGTCAGTTCTTTCTAGTGTGTCCACAACAAACAAAGTTTGTGCTTGCTACTTGGTCACTTGGTTTTAGTGCATGAATAATTTGAATTTTGTAAGCTCTTAAGTGTAACCTTTTGTGTAGCACATCATGCACTGTTGAACATTGAATTTGGAACTGCCAGCTAGCACCATGACTTGATTTCTGCGGACTTTGCTGGAATGCCTTTCTAATGCAGTTGACATTTTCTTCAGAGGTCTGTGTTTTTCCAGGAGATTTCAAACGCAGCAGACTACCTGTAGTCCTCAGATTGTTGTCCCAGAACCGATTGCTTTTCTGTGTAGTAGGTTGACATCCATATTATGTTCTAAAATGGCGCTGGACAGCTGTAAGAAATGGCAACTCTGCTAGCCAAAACAAGCACTGAACCTGTTCCTGTGATGTTGACATCGTTACTGCGCTTGTCAAAGGTCACCACCTGGCACATGCATGTAAGCCAGGCATGAAGAGAACTTTCAGAGTTTTCCTTTCCGATGACATAAACTGGATATGTGACAGTTAGTTTCAGAGAGATACATTTTTTATTTTGGATACCTTTCATCCAGACACACTATATACTCTACAGGCATAATCCAGAATTTTTTAATATTGTAGCAGATGGTACATACAGTAACCACTGTGCTCCAATAAATTAGTGTATTGTGTCATAAAGATGTATATTTGAATACTTGTATTCCATTTTGTTAAGTAGATATAAATATATGTTAAAAGCTCAGTCAAACAACAACTTTATTTGTAATAATTCAAAATGTTTCATATTTCAGCATCAACCTTACCCCATCATCAGAGTCTTTCAATAGAATGTGTGTGGAGGGAATTCTTATAAGTGCAAGTGTTGTTCTCTCCATAGAATGTTGTAATTGCAAAACAACTCCATATAAATCACTGCATATGCATCTTATTTATGCATGTTTGGCTGTTTTCATTTCAGAAAATGCTCCCAGAGAGCCTCTATAAAACCCATGCTCTATTGTGGCATCACTTTGATTTTATTTACATTTCATACGATCGGTCATAAGACCAATATCCAGTAGACCCTCTATATTCTGTGCTTTGTTATACTATGAATTTGGATATACAGGGGCAGTGATCATGTCCTCCAACATGATTACGAACTGTAAATGTGAATTTCACACATAACACGTGTAACTTATAACTCAGATACTGAAGCTGTCTACTGTATTACATTTTACTATTAGGCAAAACAAAATGTACCACTTCCTTAGCCTAAGCAACACTATTCAACGTCCTCTGCACACATTCCATTGGAAAGATCTGATAATGGCATAGGATTGATGCCAAATCATCATGCAAAGAGGTATGTGGGAGGATGGAGGTATAGCTCCACCATTCTTAACCTTGGCAATAAATGGAGGTGAGTGATTATCTTCATGCCTTACTGCTCCACCCCCAGGAAAGCAGCTCCTGGTACCCAATGGGGGGGGGGGCTCAGAGCCTGTGAAGACATTATGGAGAAGTGAAAGACCTCATGCTCCTTCTGGCAATCAAATCTGGATTGCTTGGCCAAAATACATAACTCTGAGTTATTCCATTTAATGTTCTTGTTACCTGAGCTTCTAATTTGCAGTCAAAGGTATCTGCTGTTCTATCATTAAATTTACTCATTGCAGTGGATCTTCCAAATGGGCTAGAAATTTGGTGGGATGGCGTAACTCGTGTCTATATTGATGCTCCAGCCAGTTTTCAGGGGAACACCAAGGTATGGGGAGTCTGTCACATACACTGTACATGTGTTTAAATGCTCAATAGGCAAATAATTCAGACAGTACTCTTATCAGCCATTATCAGCCAAAGAGGGATGGCCTGTCAGTCTTTGCGTGCGGTGTAGTATGCATTCCATTATTACATTTAAAAATATCTGAACTGGATATATTATTCAGCAATCAAAGCAACGATTGAAGACCATTAGTGTTGGTGTGTGAGCTGTAAAGATGTTTTGATTATTGGTTGAAATATACCAGATGTAAAGTGGATGCAGGAGGACTACATCTACAGAAAAATAAGTTCTTAAATTTAGTTAATGCATATGAAAGTGTGGGTACTTATTAACTTAGAAAGTGAAAGGTACTAATATCTCAGTAGTTTATTGGGTTTTTGTGGCCTATATCTTAGGTGTAACTTCGGCTTTTTGGGTTTAGCTGTGACGTGTTGAAGGGGTTCCAACATTTCTGAATGAACTCCAGTCACGATTCTTTTGCCAAACGTGGAGTTGAATGATGATGTGGCCTGATGTATTCAGTCTGTCACTTGGAGTAAGGGTGGCTATGAATTGCCTAGTGCTATGAAATTGGAAGGGATCATTCTGCTGCAAGATGTACATATTGAATGATGACCCCTCCCCATTGGCTAGTATGACACTCTACACCCCAGAGCATGTTGGCCCAGTTGGTAATTCTTCTAACTTGTATTCTGGAATATCTGGCTTTATTCTCAGACTTTCATGGTCAGTCCCTCCAAGTAGATGCCCAGAATAGTACTTCAAATTAGTAAGTAAAGTAAAGGTATCCCTGTAAGAGGCCTTGGAGGCCCATAGGGTTGTGAGACGTTGAGGTTCCCACATTTTCTAGACAATTGGCTCATAGGTGGCGGCAAGGTTGTCAGCCCTACACTCCGGCCGCCCTTTACCCCCAAGAATATTCCTGGTACTCATTTCTGTTAGAGGCTGAGTTCACCCCAGGGCCATAGTGCGGCTGAAAGGATTAGGTCAATTGAAAAATCCGAAGACCTCATCGGGATTTGAACCCGCAACCTTCTGCCTTGTAGCATAGTGCCTCAACCAATTATGCTACCTCAAATTAGGCCACAACCAATCATTGCATGTCCTTTCCTGTTCATTATTCACCTGTCATTTGATGCTGTATAATTTGAGCTACTAACAGCATCATTAAATAAACAATAAATAAATAAATTAAAATTCAGCTCTCACCCTTATGTCCACTGTGATCTTTCTTGCAATGAATTCATCCTGAATGTGATAACAGTAACATATGCAGAAATGTTGGAAGAGCTTCTACATATATGTAATATGGCTAAATCCTCAAAACTCAAGTTACACATTAATGTTGCAGTTGCTACATCTTCTGTAAAACTGCTTTATGACTTTGTGGATAGTGAGCATGCATACAGAGCAAACAATGGTACATTGTAGGGCCTGTGTGGGACATTTAATCAGAACCAGAATGATGACTTCCTGACTCCAGAAGGTGATGTAGAACAAGATGTAGCAGCATTTGCTAATAAATGGAAGACAAATGAAGTTTGTGAGGATGTTCTGGAGAGGGAGGCATCCAGCCATCCCTGTGATGTCAACGCACACAACAGAGCCACTGCTGAGAAACATTGCTCAAAATTGAAAGGATCACTCTTTGAAGGTATCTGTAGTGACTGTACAGGATACAGACATAGTTTCTAAGATATTAGTGGCAATGTAAGGTTGTTTCTATGCTTAAAACCATGTCATGATTGTGAAATGGGGGTATAGAGTTCAATAACAACACATGTTGATAATGTTCTTCAGTCTTTTATAGATGTGGTCAAAGCTGCTAACTTACCAGAGGTAAATGCCACCTCTGATTATGGTACAGTGGGTCAGTGTTAATTAAAATGAAGTTGACATGTTCCCCTGAAATGTCTGCAGCAGTGCGCACAACCACACAGTGCAAAGATCCAGGGGAAGACTCAACATTGATACTGAACCACTGTGAAAGCCCAAAAGCAATATTATAATCAGTGTAGACCTTACCACTAAATAGAGAATTAGGGTAGCAAAACCATTCATCTGGTGTGTAGGAAATGCTACTACCAAGATTTAGGTTAAGATAATTTGATTTTAGTTTCTACTTTAAAGCAGTCATCTGTTGGTCACTTATACTGTTATGGAACTAAATGGTGACTGCCACTTAAGATTGCAGTTTTCTGGGATGTGATGCTGTGTAGTCTTGTAGATAGGTAGTAACATTTCTGAGCAACCTCATGTCTCCATCTTTGGGTTAGAAGATGTTTCTCTCCTGAAGATGGAGGCAGCAGGTTCCTCTGAAACATTGCTACTTATCTGTCAATTTACGCACTGTAGAAGACCTTGATACTAATGTTTACGAATAATCTTTGTAAGCTTAGTATAATGGCCTTGCCTTAATATATTTGTTGCTTTCTGCAGGATGTCACTGGCTAGTGGACCCAGAGCCTTATTACCAGGACTGCCTGTATGACCTTTGCTCCTGTCAAACAAAGGTTTCACAGTGTTTGTGTTCCATATTTGCTGCGTATGCAAAGGAATGTACCCACAAGGAAATCATGATTGATTGGAGAAATGACATCAGAGAATGTGGTAAGGCTTTTCAATTTAAAAATGGCTTTGAACTTGTGGGTGGTCAGGATAGACTGTCAGTCTAGTACCTAGTTTACTGGCTGGATGAATGGGAAACTGTGGGGAAGGGGGGTTATTCTTTGCAGAGACAAGAGACATTTTGCTCTCCACAGTGTCCATACAAGCCCTGGGGCCCACTGACACTCCTATACAGTGTGTATTGGGGGATCTTCCCCTGAGCCGCCTTGAAGCCGACCACTGACTTCCATCTAGTGCTGAGGTCAAGAATGGTGGAGCTATACCTCCATTTCCCCACACATCTTGATGGTATAGTGCATAATTATTTAGTCACAGGGACAACTTTACCTTTTTGTCTACATCAGTTTGTCAGATGTAACCTCAAAGCTTCTTGTCATCTCCATGATTGTAACTATTGGCTTACATAACATACCTCATATTATGTGGATGCTGTGGAGAAGAGAAATCTCTTGTCTCTCATTGGTATCGAACCCTGGCCATCCATCCAATAGCTGGCCACTATACCAACTGAGCTATCCCAGCTCTCCAATTGATGTAGATAAAATCTGTATATAAATAATTAGCTCTTCACGAAAATAAAATATAATAAGATAACAATAAATATTACTACTAGACATGTAGGATTAGTAATTTGTGTAATAGAATGGGATGCAGTATTGATTTTATATGTGTATTTTATGATTAGGTGTTCATTGCCCTGGTGGACAGGTGTACCAAATATGTGGTAATACTTGCACACACTCGTGTTATGACATCTCACTGAATCCGCAGTGCAGGAGGCAGTGTGTTGAGGGTTGCAACTGCCCTGAAGGGCAAACCATAGATACTACAACAGGAGAATGTATTCCTGTGGGACGCTGTGTCTGCCAGCATGATGGTGTGGAGTACCCAGCTGGTTTCCAAGAAGTCAGACCAGGGAATAAAGGGCTGGAACTTTGGTAAGTGGGTTCTTGTCACAGAGGAATTCCAAATTGTACCTTATTTAATTTTCCTTCATTTAATATTCTCATGATATCTGAGGTTCCCATGTGGTAGTGACCATGAAGATTCCTGTCTTTCAAGTGGGGTCATGACATTATGTAGTCCGGTAGATGTTTGCTATTTTTCCAGAGGAACATGCTGTCTCCATCTTCAGGGTAGAAGAGGGTTGTTCTACCCTGAAGATGGAGAAAGCATATTTCTCCCAAAAAATGGTAAACATCTACCAGAATATAAGGCATCACATGTGAGATGACAGTAATTTTCATGGTATTACTTTTTTGCAGTGTTCATCTTCAAATATGGTTTTGTTGACAATGTTGACCTCAGCTCACCTGTTCTGAAGATGGAGACATGTAGAGGGCCGATTCTGCTGTTGCATCACATATAATGGTTTTTAGAATGAAGGCTGGCATTATAGTCTAAGTTCTGGCTTTGAGTTCTGGATAGAAAAATCTTTATCAAAATTTGATGAGAGATTGACGTAGGATTTATACTATGAAAAAGAGTTATGTTGTACTTTGAGATTAAAGGTCCCCTGTGTTAAATGAAACTTTAAACTAAAGAGAAACACTTGATCTGTGCAGTCTGTGTCGTAATGCCGTATGGGAGTGTCGACCTGCAACACCCGAAGAGTCCGAAGAATTTCCTAAGACGGGAGCATTGTTAGCTGGTTGCAGTCATGAAGGAAACCAGGAGTTCACCACCTGTGAGCCTGTGGAACCTGTAACATGCAAGGTATTGCGTTATTCTTTAGTTTAACTGTGAAGCCTCTGTGGGGTGCACCATGGTAGACCATGCAATAATGTTCCTAAATCATATTTATGACAAGCTCCAGGGCATACCCAGCCTCATATCAAATGGGCACCAGTGGCTGTTTCCCTCGGAATAATTTAGCAGGGCATGGAGCTGACCACTCACCTTCATCTAGTGCTGGGGTTAAGGATGGTAGTTCTATACTTCTACTCCCCTGTATGTCTTCACAGCCCAGTGCTTAATGATTTAAACAAAGGGATAACTTTACATTTGTGAATCTTCAGCCAACTTTTGTTGTTCACCTGTTACAAAGATACAGAATGAATAACAGTTTCCTGGTAACATACTGAATTGGTGAAAGTGGGTTACAACTTCAAAATTACTGTCTTCTAGGATAAGATGCCATGGAATTTGGTAGTTAAGTGATTCAGCATCTATCTTTAAGGTGGAATAGTGAGACATTCTTGAGAAATGGTGCAAGATACAAGGAAGGAGCAAGTTTCTGAAACATTGGATCCTTATCTCAACCATGGTATGGCTTATTGCTAAAATAGATTATAGTACTTAAATATGAAAATTCAACAAATATTTTTGTATTGTTTCAGAACATGCACAGTCCTCCACAGTACAGCCCTGCCATATGCAGGACAGGTTGCAAATGCAAGAAAGGATACGTACTGGATTCACACACGAAGAAGTGCATTAAACCAGTTGACTGTCCTTGCCATCATGGTGGGAAGAGTTATGGAGAGGGTGAGACCATGCAAGAAGATTGCAACACTTGGTATGTGAACCCTTTAAAAACTTCTAAGTAATATACAAAAATTCAGATCTTATCTTATAGGAAACACATTACTTCTATGCTACGAAGACCAACCAGTTGAAGTTGTTTAAGGAAATAATCACTGTTTAGCGTGAAGTAAATAAAGCATACATAAATACACTCTGTAGTCGGGATGCAGGGTATTTCTTCTGGCTTATTTTGGACTTCATCCATCATCTGGTATGTAAAAGGCAAAAGACCACAACATTTCGGAGACTGGATCACTGGACCAGTGACTGAGACTAGCTCTTTCTAACGGGCCCAACTGAGTAGGTTTTATCCTTCCCTACCCACCTGATCCAGTCTCCGAAACGTTGTGGTCTTTTGTCTTTTACATACCAGACGATGGATGAAGTCCAAAATAAGCCAGAAGAAGTGCAGTATACACCATCGTCAGAATCCTTTCAAGTCTATCCCAGGTTGCAGGGTGTTTCTATGTCAAAGCATGTGGTACATATAGCAACTACAGGGATTTAAAGGTAAAACAAGTTAAAGCTATCCCTGTATCAGGCTGTGGAAAGGTTGAGGCTGCAACATTTTCTAGACAGTCAGCTCATAGGTGACAGTGAGGTTGTCAGTCTTACACACTGGCTGCCCTTTATCCCCAGGAAGATTGCTCGTACTCATTTCTGTTAGGGGCTGAGTTGACCCCAAGGCCATAGTGTGTGTGGAAGAATTAGGTAAACTGAAGAATCCAATGACCTAATCAGGAACTGAACCTATGATCTTCCAGCCTGTAGCATAGTGCCTCAACTAACTGTGCTACTGCATGCCCTGGGATTTAAAGGTTAAAGTGTTAATTAATATTCATATGAATTTAAGACTGCGTTATCATTTTGTTGTCTCCACTGTAGGATTATTTGATGTTTTACCCTTTATCTGCTATGTTTTGTATGTTCTGTAGGAGCAGCAATTGGTATGTCACCACACGTACTCACACTTCGCATTTTTCTTGCAGCAAATGTGAATCTGGCAAGTGGTCATGCTCGGAGCGTGTCTGTGCTGGTATATGTACGGCCTGGGGTGACTCCCATTACAAGACATTTGATGGACGGATCTATGATTTCCATGGAAACTGTGATTATGTTCTGGTGAAGGGCTCACTTGGCTATGATGACATATTTGATATTTCAATACAGGTTGGTATACCAGCAGCACTGAGTGTCAAATACATTTCACATAGTGTTCCTTTTTCTATAAAAAATAATGCTGTTATTATTCACATATCAAAGGTCAGGAAACCATACTTCTAACTTTCCTTTACAGAGATTTAACCTTTAAAAGCCAAGTAAATTATTTTTTATGATTTCAGTGTTCATTATCAATTAGTTTCTTATAACATGCTTTTAAGTTTGTGTTTTGTTCTTGTGTTCTGTTTCATAATGAGGTCCTGGTATGATGTACCATTGTATGTTACATGGAGAAAGCCCCCTGATTATACATGATACATAAATTGTAAAATATGTAAACTTCATGAAGTTTAGTAGACAAAGACATAGATCCTTTATGAGTCAGGTTAGTGTAATTCTGGACCTGCAGAGGGTGAAATATCATCAACCCCTTTGAATTCTACACAGATACTTACCTTGAATATGCATCTTGCCTTGATTAGATAGACTGGCTATGCAGCATTTAGCTATATCCTTTTTTTGAGTAAAATATTGTACATAGACTCCTATCAACTGGGATATAGTGCCATCTAGTCTGTTGAAAGTCAGCTGACATTTCGGAGGATCATGTTACCTCCATCTTCAGGGTTGGAAAGTAAGCAAAACAAGAAACCAGCATGAAGGAGGCAGTAAGCAGATGGTGGCCATATATTCCAGCAGGATGTAGTTTGATTCTCAGTTGACTACATGGTTCTACATACCTAATCATTGCTGTGAGAACTCGGATTCTACAAAATATTATGCATGTTTGCCATCTGTTATACATATTAACAATACAGAACATTCATGTTTGCATTTCTGTCTCTTCATAAGAAGCTGTTATGAAGGAAAAACTACCAGTGACTGTCAGTTTACATTTGCTGCAAAGGAGTACAGACATTTTGTCAGATTATGATATTTGGGGAGTTAATTGAAGTTATGGTTGTGTTGAGTATATTATAAAATTGACTGGAAGTTTTGCTGCAGTATCAATATCTATATAAAATTGTAAGCTGTCATGATAGAGAAATGTTCAGAAAGCATCCCAAGTGGTAAGACATGTCACATCTCAATTAATGAAATGTTTCAGAGATCTGCTCTGTCTCCATTATCAGGGGTGACAGAAGTATCGTGTCTCTAAAATATTGGTTCTCAGCTCAGCTTTGTCACATCTGATCACCAGAGATGATTTTGATGTGAATATAACATTTCCTTGATAGAAATTTATTCACACTTCTAAAAGCTTTACTGAAAAATGTAAATTACTACTTATGATGATATGACAAAGTAATCTACTTTACAATAGCTCAGACATCTGTACAGTGTTATTTAAGAGCTGACATTTAGAGGAATCCTGAAATGAAAAGTTTTCTCTAGGTTGCTTGCTGTGTTGACATTCTAGTCACAGATTAAATGAGAATAATAGTAGATGATAATTTTAAGAGCATTTAACTCTATCTGGATATTTAAAAATTGCCAAACGAAGCAGGTTAGTCTAGAGTTAACTCTCTGAACTTATATTCAAGAGATGATCAGTTTGAATCTTGGCAGGGATACTGATTATCCTGGCTGAGTTCTATCCTGACTTTCCTCAGTTCCTCCAGGCAAATGCTAGGATAGCATCCCCTTCCTTCCAAATACTTTCCAACTAACTGTGCATCAAACATCCTACCATTTGATGTTATATAATCTATATATGACAATGATGTTATATGATGCACAAAAAAATTGTAGTATATTATGTTGTCTTTTTAATAGAATGTGCCATGTGGATCAGATGGCATCAGCTGTTCCAAGTCAGTCACATTGAGGGTGGGGTCATCTGAGAAACAGGAAATAATCACCTTTACAAGAGAGAAACCTGTTCCTTCACACACAAACTTAGGAAGGTACAGTACATGGTTACAGCTTCGCAGTTCTCAACCTGTCAATCTCTTCAGTCCAGATCCTTTCAAATTCCCTCCTTGATCACATCATGAGTTACATATTCTCCTCCATTGTGTGCCAGATGGTATCTCATGAATTAGTCTTCAGTACTTTCCGGCTATTTCCATGTCCTTACCATTCCAATATTTTTGCACAGTACCTTTCACTGTCTCTTTAACTGACTCTATACCCTAGCCCACCAAATTAGCCATAAATATCTGTTCAAAAAATTAATGTGTGCTCTACTGAACCCGGGGTTTTCTAATTCAGTACCCTACATTCTGCCTCATGAAATAACAGTTATCATCAACATAACCATCAAGATTACAGTTTTCTGGGATATGACTCAAAATAGTTTGGTGGATAGGGAACTCCTGCCTCCATCTTAGCAGTTTCTTTCAAAACATTTGTACCTGTCTACCAAACTACACAGCCTCACATCCCAGAAAACCTTAATCTTAACAGTCACTACCATAAGATATCAGAGCTCATCATCATCATCACCATCATCGATGCTATATAGTCTGAGATACTGAGAGCTGAGCCCTTCTTCAGAAGATGCTAGTTGTGCAGCTACTCAAGAACTTCCCAGCATTTTATGGAATACAAAGGTTCATTACTGTGTTCATAAGGGCCCTCTGTCAGTCCCTATCCTGAGCCAGATCATTCCAGTCTATACCACCCCTTCCTGTCTCTCTAAGATCCATTTTAATATTATCCACTAGGGGTCTCTTTCCTTCTGGCTCTCTTATCGATATCCTATATGCATTTCTCTTCTTCCCATATGCCGTGCCCATCTCATCCTCCTTGACTGGATCATTCTAATTATACTTGGAGAAGAGTACAAGTTATGAAGCTCCTCATTGTGCAGTTTTCTCCAACCTCCTGTTACTTCACCTCCCTTCGGTCCAAATATTCTCCTCAGCCCCTGTTCTCAAACACCCTCGGTCTATGACTATGACTCAGTGTCTGACTATATGTACATTATACTGCTTTATTTGTGACTATTTTCACATACTATGAAATTGTTTTCTGTATGGATTTATGGAAAATGAATAAATAGAAATAGAAATATGTTCCTCCCTTAATGTCAGAGACCAAGTTTCACACCCATACAGAACCACAGGCAAAATTACTAGGTCTCTGCATTGGTCATCTGTCATCTTAATTTTTTGTGCTCTCAAAGACATACCATAGACCATATCACTTTATTCTTTCTTCAGATTTTCTTGTAGTGTTTCTGATTTTATGTGTTGTCTAATATCCTGGTTGCAGAATTTCTCCCTTGTTTATTTTCTGGGACTCTGTACATATGCCATGGGTACTAATTGTAATATCACCCTTTCTTAGTCCATGTTTTATTTAAAGAATTTTTGATTGCATGTTATACCTTCAATAGGAAACCTTACAGAAGAAAAATTCTGTGTTTGAGTGAGATCTCTGATGTGGGGATTTCAGCCCCTACGTACTTGCCACCTGCTTCATGCTGGTTTCTTGCTTGGCTTATTCTTCAGCTCACATTTTCCATCCCTGTATATTCTCTCTGTAATTTCTTCTTTGATTCTTTGATTTGATGAACATTAACGACTGAAATAAGGGGGCCAGGGTAACTCAGTTGATATATTGACCAGGCCATTGGCTGATTGACCTGTTAATTGGGTTTACTTCCTGGCAAGGGGAAGTGAACCCTTAAACAGATGATGGCATAGCCTAAACACTTCTAAGTATAATGTTTCTATCTCTGTCAAGGATAAAAGTTGATTTAATAATGCAGCATTCCCTTCTAACTGAAGAAAGGATTTGTGTCTTTTCAGTAATGTTCATGATATTCAGAGCATGGCAGACAAACTGATATTTGACATTTATAGAACTATAACAACATTGTTGCAGAATAACAATCCGTGAAGCTGGTCTATTTGTGTTTGCTGAGGTCTTTGACTTGGGTTTAGTTCTTCAGTGGGACAGAGGAACCAGAGTTTACATCAGGGCTGACCCAAAATGGAAGGACAGGGTGAGTGAATTGATGACTTCCAAGTTTACATATGCAGTGATTTTGGTTTTCATATTTCAGTTATTATTTATACATCCTGTGGATGAACTGTATAGAATGAATACATAATGCTGAGGAACAGAAGATTCATTTTCTTCTCAATAGCACACATGTCATTTGCCAACAGAATTTCTTTATCACTTGTTTCTGATATGAGAATGTATCACAACATGAAGAGAAGTAAGAAATTTTAATTGTCTTATGTCATTTCCAAACCAAGTAACTTTCATTCCCTAAAATTCATCTTTTGTTGATATTTTGGTTTTGAAATGCTTACTGAGAAACCAGAGAATGATAATATATAATGCCTAGAGGTTTATTAAAATTGGTTTCACAAAGAAATCAAGAGCAGATTAAATTTGGTCAATGTCTGCTGTCACTCAGTTCCAAATCTTTCTGTCTTCTAAAAATATAGAGATGAAATGCATTCAATTTTAATTTTGCTGGTTTTGTAATGATGTGAAAGCTTGCCTCTCACATTAACGGAAGAACACAGACTAAGGAAGTAGGAGAACATGGAGCTAAGGGGGATATGTAGATCTAAGGAGGAGAAAGTAACAGGAAGCTGGAAAAAGATTGTGTAATGAAAAGTCTCATAATTTATACTCCTCGCCAAATGTTAATAGTATGATCAAATTAAGGAAGATGGGTCAGGTGGAGCATGTAGCATGCATGAGTGAGAAGTGAATGCATGCAAAATTTTAATTGAAAACCTGAAGGAAGGAGACCACTTGGAAGACCTAGACATAGTTGGAAAAATGATAATAAAATGTTTCTTAAAGAGATAGGGTGGGAGGCTACTGAAAGAGTTAATTTGGTTTAGAATAGAAACCAATGGTGGGTTCTTGTGAATGTGGTAATGAGCCTTTAGATCCTTAAAATTGTAGATTTTCTTGAATAGTTGAGCAGTTGTTAGCTTCTCAAGAATATCTCTACTATATGGAAGTGGTTATTGCATATTTAATATTACAAAACCAGACATTTCCTTTGTAGGGGTCCTTGTTATGTGCTCAGTGTGTGATAGTCTGAATATGTTTTATCAGTAGCATAAGAAAATTGTCATTATGAAATATACAGATTAAACACTGGCTTCAATGCCTGGATGTTCAGTGCCCATAATCACATCTGAAACTGCCAGTTCTCTGCGGAACTCATGATTTTGCAATGTGAAGTCTGAAATCTTCTTTCACTGTTTTAGCTGAAAGGCTTGTGTGGTAACTACAATGATAACCAATTAGATGATTTTCAAACTCCTTCTGGTGGTCTAAGTGAGGTATCTGCTAGACTGTTTGGTGATTCATGGCGGCTCCAGTCTTACTGCCCAGAATCAGTCGATGTTGAGGTAAGCATACGGTCTTACTTTCAAATTTATCAGCAAACATTAGGTAACAGGGAACAGAGTAGTGAGATTATAATCTTCGGTAATGTTGTGTTGTGTAGTTTGGTAGATAGGTGCCAGTGTTTCAGAGGAACCTGTTGTATCCATCTTCAGGGTGACATACCCTGATGACTGAAGTAACAAGGGCCTCTGAAATAATGATACCTGTCTACCAGACTAAATGTTATCACAGCCCAGAAGACAGCAGTGTTCACTGCCTGAGAACCTTGGATCTCACATCTACACAACTTTTTGTAAATTTAATATCGGTGTAAATAAAATTATGGTGGTGATGATCTATATATCATTTGAAATGTATACTTCATAGATGGTGTAGCATTTCAGTTACTGCAGAGTATCAGGAGAACAGCTGAAGATTTTTATTGCATTTTATTAGACGAATAATTGAAGATACATGTAAGTAAAGAGCAAACTGTTACTGGAAGAAATTACCCAAATTTTACATAAAAACAGCCTATTCATATTTTTTTGACATTCTTTAAAATAGGTAAAGGTAAGGATAAATTNCACAATATCTGCCCCATATAAGAGAGACGATGGGAGGACGAACACGAGCCTGCATGGTTTACGAATTTTAATCATTGACAATCTAAAAAACTTTTAATAAATTAGCATCAAGGAATCTTATACATTTTTAAAACTTACATTCCCAGGAAACTGCTGTGTTTGTGAAACGTTCTATTCTGTGTACTGTGTGTTGTAACATATAAGTGTACATACTTTGCGTGTAAACAAATTATGTGATAGTGGTTTCCTATTTGTAGTGATGTTTGCCCTCTGAAGATGGTCCACAGAGACCGAAACATGTAAGGGTGTTAAGTTTTTGCGTAGTAAAAAACTTACAGGTCACATTGGACGGAGTGATTTATAATTTGTAAGGATAAATTTATTTATAAATTTAACCATGCTATGAAGAAATATGGGTGAATGGAGGTATAGCTCCACAATTCTCAACCTTGGTACTAAATTGAGGTGAGGGGTGAGCTTCTTGCCTCGGCTACATTACCGCCGGGGAAACATCCCTCGTTATCTCTTATATAGGAAACTGGGTGGGCCCCAGAAGTTGTCTGGATATTATGGAGAAGAAAAAAACCTTTTATTCTTGCCATGAATTGAACCCTGATTCCTACATCATCTAGCCCATAGTGTAGTCACTATACTGACTGGGCTATCCTGGGCCCGAACCTCTTATTTTTGCCATGAAATGAACCCTGATTCCTACATCATCTAGCCCATAGCATAGTCACTATACTGACTGTGCTATCCTGGGCCAAAAAATGTAATTACTAATGACACCTATGAAGTACTTTATGTGTTAGATTGTGTCATTTAATGTAGCTTTGTCTTTTCAGTTTGTGTACAGAAAGGGATTTTTTTTTTTTTCCAAATAGTACCAAATCACTATATTCTGATTTTTTAAATTTGTCTCCAGGTTTCAGGAAAGAGAAATTAACCATGAAGAACCCTAGAATCTCAAAAATCCATTACATTTCCAACATTGTTTTTTTTTCCCCAGTTTACATTTAATGTTTCTTGAAAGTTACTATAATCACTGACCTTTACAGGACACATGTCTCAGTCATCCAAACCGCAAGCTGTGGGCTATGAAGAAATGCGGAGTATTGAAGTCATCTGTTTTTCAGCCTTGCCACTCTGAAGTACCACTGGAACCGTATCTTGAAAGGTAATAATCAGCTCTCTTTGTGCATGAAGTAACTGCCTTGTAATCTGGAATGTATTGATTCTGTAAATGCTTGTGACAGTGCTTGTTTCATTCTATGAATATTATATTGGGGTGTATTCAATATGAACAGCATTTCAGAAATTTAATCTATTTCTGTGATTAGTTGTAAGAAGTGAAAATGATCTCACACAGTTGGGTCCACTAGACAGAGCTACCCTTAATGGTTCGTCCCACCTACATATGTGGCCCCAGTGGTCAAGATCAGCTAAGGTCCAGCTGAATAAGATTCTTTCTGCCCTTTCACCTCATGACAAATGGATCCAGTTTCTGAAGTACTGGGTATTTCAGATATAGATGAATATAGTTCTGAATGCAGGAAGTCATTTGAAGAACTGCTGTGAATTTTGATTATATTGCCATAAACTTTTCTGAATACTCATTCATCTTATGTCATGAAAGAATATTTTTGTAATTTGTAAGGATGCAGTGGCCCCAGCAGGTAGCTAGGATGGACTGTGTACAGAGTGTTGAAGGCAGAAGTTTAGGAAAACATCCACTCAGAAGACCAAGAAGGTGTTGGGCTTATAACATTATGACTAACCTTAGGGAAAATGGGTGTGGGGCTGTGAGGGTAGATGTAACTGGCTTAGGATCATGCATAACAATGTTGATGGTGTTGAAACTTTGGATTTTTTGCTCTAGTGTTAGTATATTTTACCTTATGAGAGCTTTCTTTCTTCAGATGTATTTTTGATGCATGTGGCTGTGATTTGGGTGGTGACTGTGAGTGCCTGTGTACAGCCATTTCAGCTTATGCTCAGGAGTGTAACATACGAGGTGCAAGCATAAAATGGAGATCACAACAGCTGTGCCGTAAGTATTGCAGCCAGAAGTACTGTCACTACACTCATTGTCTTGTCACCATTCACTTACATTTATTGCAGAGCCATACAATGCAAGAGGTCTCCAGGTTTATTTGACCTGAGTGTGATTTGTTGTGCCTCTTTTTGATGACAGCTTCATTTTTATCTCCTGCTGTGCCATCATAAACTTGCTGAGCTGCAAAGACTTTTTTATTCAAAACAAGCTTTACTTCACTATTGTTTTCTGCCACAACACAGTGGTTGAAATCTAGCACACAATGAAACCAGACACAGAATTGCAAGAGGTGGATAAGCCCATAAATAAAGAAAACCAGATCATGGAAAACATAGAATAGAACATTATAGAACGTCACAACAACTGATTCCGAACAGTGCAGCTACTCCATTAGGAAATCAAATGGGAGTAAAAAGAAAACAGGTCCAACCACAATCAAAACAACACCTCTAAATAACTCAAATTATAACGTTATAATTGTGGTAATAGATACCAGAATAAATAGTAAGAAGTAAGTAAAGTAAAAAGTAAAGGTATCCCTGTAACAGGCTGTGGAGGCCCATAGGGTTGTGAGATGTCGAGGTTTCCACATTTTCTAGACAATCGGCTCATAGATGGCGGCAAGGCTGTCAGCCCTACGCGCTGGCCGCCCTTTACTCCCAAGAATATTCCAAGAATATTCCTATANGAACAACAATTTCAATTCATTGCCAGATTGTTTTAGTACATCATAACAACATAATATATTTTATAACTTAAAAAGTTTTATTTTATTTTACTATACCACATATATATTTATGTACATCTCTAGGCATCTATTTGAATTTAAAACTTTTATTCCAATTTTAATACATTTATACTATTTGCATTAATTCAGAAAAAATGTTAAATGTATTAACTGAGTGGAAACTCATGTACATTAGTGATAGTTATTATATCGTTAATATTAAAATCCATATAAAGTGAAATTCAGTAGTGTGAAAATGTATTATAATATATTTGCCTGATGATGGCTCTATAACCCAAAACATGTAGCACATTGTCATGCCATTAAAACTAATAAACTCAATATACACAGTGAAATGTGAATGAGATTTTGATAATTCTTGTGTTGAGGTGAAAAACAGTAATGAATTATAGGATAACACAACAGGATACATTCTGTGAAGTAAAAAAGCTTAATTTATTTAATTCACAGAAAATATCATGAAGGTAGTTGCCATGACATTTGTATTCCCTTTTGACGTGTGTCTGGCAATGTATGAAATATATCTCATGTACCCCCTTATGAGGCTTCACATACCCAATAGGAGGGTGTGTCTTGCTACCCAATGACATGAAATCACTGAGATTCTGACCTTGTTTATCTTTGGTGTCTGTAGCAATCCAGTGTGATGAGAAGTGTTCACACTACAGCCCATGTGTGCAGACCTGCCCAAAGCAGACATGTGACAATTACATCATTCACAGCAATCTCAATCAGCTTTGTAGTGAGGATGCATGTGTCGAAGGTGGGCTTCAGTTTATTGTTTACCTCTGTTATCTCCTATGACAAATTTTTATTTTGTTTATTGGGAATAGATTTCTGTTTTTCTTACAGTGCTCCCTCACATTACAGATGTTTGGCTTACAGAATTTTGTTCTTGCAGAAATTATAAAATATGACTGTAGAACTGAACAAGTTTTTTATGACAGTAACAGCTCTGACTTGCATTTGGTAAATGGCTGATTCTGATCTCAGCTGATACACCGGCTTTGATGATTGAGATTTTTCATGGTTTTACTCAGTTCCTCCAGCCAAATGCTGGATAATATAATAAATTAGGCCACGAATGCTTCCTTCCAGATCCTTTCCAATTCATTATTCTCAAATCATATACCACTGTATTGAACAAAAAAATGTTTTTTTTTGTTTTTTTTTTTAAGAATTGCTAATTTGTTAAGAAATTCATGCCACATATGTTATGTGTTGGCCATTACTGGCCTATGCACATGCACTAGTAATGTAGAGGGATAGTTGGTAATGTGTTTGTTATTTCCACCTTATTTTAGATCAGCAAGACCATAAAGTTCTTGGGCAAGCAGCACACATAAAGGAGCTGGAAAAGGAATTACTGTATTTTTATTATGATTGTGAAGTAAAAAAATCCCATAGTACCACATCTCTGCTTACAACATAGCAATGGGAAATAGGGTTCACCTTGCAGAATTTCATGATATTGACACATTTTTCAAGAAAACAGTCTTTTCCCATGATGCATAGATGTGCTGAATTTGTTTTAGTATAAAATTTATGTACCTTCATTTTAGTCTACTTTCCATATCTGTGGTAGAAAAGTAGACTTATAAAATACCATCCTCTCTAAGTCTTCCTTTTCAACTTTTGAACCAGTTAACTGATTTTCACGAAATTTGGTTTGAGTGTTATCTGCTGCACCTCCCATTTTATTTCTTACAATCAAGAACAATAAAACTGAGGAGCTTGTGAAATGGGAGTAACAATATAGGGCCCTGAAATCATGTATGGTAATAGAGCTTCAAAAAATGTGCAGTACTTTTAAGGTAATTTTTTTGTAGCATGTCAAACAGAAACATGATAGCAATGTGAGTATTTTCATGTAGCTTTCGATGAGACGATGATGGCTAAGGGACCACTCACTCAGTAGTGGAGATGGGTAATACTTGAGATTCTGTGTGCCTGAGTTAATTTGGCCAAACCTTTGGTTTATGTCTTGCTATAGGCTGTGAGATAAAGCCCTGTCCTCCTGGCCAAGTCTTCAACAATTTAACATCACTTGAATGTGTGCCTGTTGCTACCTGCAAGCCATTCTGCATGCAGATAGGTGACGTGGTATTTTATGAAGGTGATATTGTGGAGCAAGATGACTGCCATAAATGGTGAGTGTACTGAAATAAACATTCTCTTCCTCCTCCTCCTCCAAACAACCACAACATTAATAATAATATGAAGTCAATTATTTAAGATTGAGGTTAGAAGCTGAAGACTGGGAGAGCAGATGACTGTGGGAACCAAAGATGGCAAACCCATGAAGGGGTAATACCAAGAAGAAAAAGTCCTTTGGACAAACACAATGAATAACCATTGAAAATGGGACACCTTTAGAAGCACGGTGTGGATATGATGCCTTATAGTCCAACAGATGCTTATCAACCTTGCAGAGGAACTTGCTACCCTCAACTTCAAGGTCACCATTTCAGGCTTAAATCATCGAGAGGAAGCCTTTTCGTATTCTTCATTGTTATTGTTTGTCTAAAACATCTCTGAAGGTATGTCACACCTTGAGTAGGCAATATTACACACGAGAAGTCCTGTGTGTTCAGTGATATTTCTGCTATGGTGATTTCGGTTCCCATTGTATACCAAAAATAGAAGAGAGTAAATTTACGATGATGATGATGATGCAATGATCTATGCCACTATCTGATTATTATGCCACCCTGAAGAATGTTTCAGATACATCATATCCTTTTATCTTCCATGTTTTCATTATCCTTTTCCTCCCCCATTTTCCTTTCCTTCCTCTTTTGTCTTGTTTCTTTTCAATTTCCTGACCCTCACAGTTGTATGTTCAGCATCAGAGAAGGGTAAGAGATATAGGTAACAGGTTCCTCTGGAACACTGATAACTTGTCTGCCGGACTGCATAATGTCACATTGCAGTGACTGTAACCTTAAGCACATCTGTGTTTCCTAAACTGGAGACAATTCATTGTATGGACCTACTGGTAAATATGTACCTTCTGCTCATTGCAGCACATGCTCTCACCAAAAGAAAACGTGCCTTGGCCAGCCTTGTACTTCTGCAACGTATACTCCATCAACACCCACACCTATATCAGCAATCACAAGTATACCACAGGAAACTGCGCCACCTTCATGTACAGGAGGTTGGACAAAATGGCGAAGCAAGGATAATCAGAAGTCTGGAACAGACACTGATGTCGAGCCACTTCCTACAGTAAATGAACTGGTAAGCAACTCCAGTCTGAGTTTAAGTGGCTCTGCCTCTGATTTGTGTTCTGCAGCTTCCTGACCAGGACACCAACTATCCAGGTTGGATTCTTTTTATGGTTTCCTTCTGTCCTTTCTGGCAGTTACCAAAGTAGTGCCTCAAATTAAGTCATGGCTATTTCCTCCACATCACTTTCAATTTATTGTTCATTGATGATCTTATCTACCTAATCCTTCCAGCTGCATTAGGGCCCTGGGGTCGACTCAGCCTCTAACAGAAATGAGTACCAGGATTATTCCTGGGGGTAAAGGGCGGCCAGCGTATAGGGCTGACAACCTCACCGCCATATGTGAGCCGATTGTCTAGAAAATGTGGGAGCCTCAACATCTCACAACCCTATGGGCCTCCACGGCCTCTTACAGGAATACCTTTACTTCTTTTTTAATCATCTTACCGTTCAGTGTTGTATAGCGTAAGCAGCTAACAGCACTTTTAAATGAATTGCATTTAAGTGAAAAGACTCAGGGAGTATTAAGATGATTCTGAGGAAATGGACAGGAAGGGACATGACTTTACACAAGCCACTAGCCCTAGAATCATTACGAGCTAAATATCTAACTCCATGGAATAGAATTCGCCTTCACAGAATAGTAGTTGCTCAGCTGGTCAAGAAATTCCTTGCCTTTTACTGAACTTGAAAATTTTTCATCTTAAGGTTCACTTTAAATATTGTAATGTGTTTCGTTACTGAAGACTCCGTAGAGATGGTTAATTGGTTTATTTAACAATCTACAAATAACGGCTACAATTAATTATCACAATGTTATGGGTTTCCACACTTTACAAACCCTAGAACAAAATCTCTTAACACTCTCTTCGAGAGTCTTCACGTACTGATAATGCGGGAGCTATACAAGTCTCCCTGAATTACACACTCCAGATATGACTGGTTATCACTGGTTATCGCACACGCGGCTGTTATGTTTCAACTCGGCGATTGTTACTTTATAACTAACTGTGAATAGCCTTCGCTGCTTCTTATGTAGCCTCGATCGGACAGTTGTTGCCTGGTGCCTTGTTGCTAGCCACGCTGTCCGGAGTTGTTGACGGCTGCCTAGTAACCGCGATATCCCTCGGTGACGTCACCGCGTTGACTTGCGTTGCATAGCGACCAGGATGCTAGGACTCGGCTAACATCGGCTCGCTTCGGCTTCGCTCGGCGCATCACGGC